CAAATATTTAGACAGCAGGCCCATTTAAACACACACATGAGAATCCACACAGGACACAAAGCAGTGGTTTGCAATGACTCCTCAAACATATGAGAATCTACACGAGGGACAACTGCTGACTGTTGAATATTTAAAACAGTCCTGGACACATGAGAGTTTACATGTAATTTACACTGAAAGATTCCAGGGTTTGTTGATAACAATTCGAGTACTCAATCAATCAATCAATCAAACTTTATTTATAGAGCCCTTTCCAGCAGCCCAAAGGTTCACAAAGTGCTGCACAGTACAGAAGTTAAAAACAAACAAGAATAAAAAATCAGTCAGTTAAAAACAATTAAAACATAGAAAGATTGTCAAAGACCTACTAGGTATTAAAAGCCTGCCTGAATAAAAAGGTTTTAAGATTAGATTTAAAATGCTCCATGTCAGTGATTGAGTGCAAGTCCTGAGGTTGCTGGTTCCAGAGTCTGGGTGTGACAACCGAAAAGGCCCGGTCACCCCATCGTTTGTAGTTGGATTTTGGGACAGAGAGTAGAAATGTATTAGATGATCTCAGTGTTCTCCTATATTCACGGACAGCTACAAGATTAGTCAAATATAGTGGGGCAAGACCATTGAGAGCTTTAAAAGTGAATAATAAAATTTTAAATTTAATTCTAAAATCAACTGGAAACCAGTGGAGAGAAAATAAAACAGGGGTGATGTGCTCACGTCTGGAGGTGTTGGTTAAAAGTCGAGCTGCAGCATTTTGGACCAATTGCAGGCGTCTAATGGAGGATTGGGAGATTCCTGCAAATAGGGAATTGCAGTAGTCGAGTCTTGAAGTTATAAAAGCATGGATGGCCTTTTCCAAGTCAGAATGATTTAAAAAAGGCTTAACTTTGGATAAAAGACGTAACTGATAAAAACAGGCCTTGACTACAGAGGATATTTGTTTATCAAACTTTAAATCCTTATCAAATGTCACCCCCAAGTTTTTAACTGTGGATATGAACTTGGATGTCAGATCACCAAAGTTACAGGGAGCATCATCACCAAAGAAGATGCATTCTGTCTTTCCTTCGTTTAAAAACAAAAAATTATGATGAAGCCACTGTTTAATGTCAGCAATACAATCAGCGAACGGTGTGAGAAGGTTACTGTTTTTAAGTTTCATTGGTAAATAAATTTGTACATCATCAGCATAGAAGTGAAAAGAAAAATTATGTTTGGCTATCACTGATCCAAGGGGCAGCATGTATAATGAGAAGAGGACAGGACCAAGAATAGAACCCTGTGGCACACCACAAGAGAGAGGGGCAGTGGAGGAAGACGGATTATTCAGCATGACAGAGAACATTCTGTTGGTCAAATAAGCAGTGAACCACTTGAGAGTTGTACCAGAAATTCCAACATAATGTTGAAGACGAGACAACAGGACAGCGTGGTCCACTGTGTCAAACGCTGCTGTAAGGTCCAGCAGCACCAGAACAACGGGACACTTGACATCCATGGACATGGAAATGTCATTATGTACTTTTAACAGGGCTGATTCGGTAGAATGATGGGTTCTAAATCCAGACTGAAATGTTTCATAGATACCATGGTTTTCTAAAACAGGTTGCAACTGCATAAAAACAACTTTTTCTAACACTTTAGCTAAAAAAGGCAGATGTGAAATAGGTCTAAAATTTGATAAAATAGGTGAGTTTTTTTAAGAAGGGGCCTAACCACGGCATGTTTAAATGCAGCAGGGACAATTCCTAGACGAAGGCAGGAGTTTAAAAATGTTAAAATACAGAAACCCACAGAATTAAAAACCTCTTTCAAAAACTTGGAGGGAAGAATGTCCAGTGGGCAATTAGTGAGCTTCATGTGTTGAACAACATCAGTGAGAGTGAGTACTGAAGTGGTATGCTGTCAAGAAATGAAACGGTTTTTACTTACATGTATATATTTGTTTTTTATATTAGTTTTTCCATTGTGTTCAAGTTTATATTTTGTTTCAAAAGAATTGTCAAAACTTCTGTAACTACAGACCTATAGCTTTACAGCCAATTGATCTTAGTTCTATCTGAATTCATTCATTGTTGCAGCCAAATGTTGAATGGTGTCAAGATCGAAAACATTAATATTTTTATGTTCAAATGTTTGAATAACTTTCTGAAAAATGTGCTACATTTTAATGTAACAAATAATATACACAAAATGTATTTTAGTTCATTTAGTTCTGATTAAAATATGTATTTTTTAATTTTTTTATTTGGACTATTTTTATCAGACAACAGTTCTTCTTTCGGCTACTCCCCTTTTTTAGGCATCACCACAGTGAACTAAGTCGCACGAAGACTTGGCAGTTATTTTTACGCCGGATGTCCTTCCTGACGCAACCACAGACCACTGAGCTACCACAGCCCTCTGTGTGGAGCAGAGCGCTGCTATCTAGGATACCCGGAGGAGCAGATGGTGGGGGTTCAGGGCCTTGCTCAAGTGGGACGAATGAGGGTGGGGGCAGGTGTGGGTGCTTCACCTACCCCACCCACATTTTTGATTTTGTTGGTACCGGGGCTTGAACCAGCGATCTTCTGATCACAGGCCCACCTTCTCTAACCTATGTGCCACCACTTCCCTTTATCAGACAACAGTAATTATGGAAATATATAGACAAAATAAAAACAAGTTATAAAATAAGTTGTCATAGAATCAAACTTAAAAAGCAGTTTTGTTTAAATGTTGCTGTTAATAGATCACATGTTGAGACTTGAACCCAGCCACACAGTGCAGCTAATTAAGACTAGCTAATGTGTAGAGCAAATAAATGACGTTACTTCAACCTAAACCACACTGATAAATGTTTCAAATTTAAGGGGGAAAAAGTATTGTTTACTTTTTACTATTACTTTTACTATTAATTTTACTATTAAATGCTAGCTTATGGTGGGTAGCACGTTTGCTTAGGCTTATATAGTCAGGGAGCCATTAAATAGGAGAAAACAAACTGTAGGCATTCAACCATTCTTACCAAAATGAACCAAATTTTCATTGTAAAAATCGTTGACATTGTAATTCACTGATTGTTTACACTAGTCCCTCGTTTATCCCCCCACCCCCGCAAACGACAAGTGAAAATCCACTAAGTAGAGATCGTAGTACAAGTATTAAGTAGTAGTTTATTTTAGTATATATATATATATATATATATATATATATATATATATATACAAAAAATAACGTCAGCAGGAAACTGAAAAATACGTAACGAGAATGTGGAACATGTGTAGTTATTTAAAATACCTTTTTTCCCCTAGTAAAAATGTAAAGTAAATATTTTCTGATTGAGATTTGTATCAGAAAATATCTGGTTATTTGACTCATATAAGTAGATGTCCAGTAAACAAGTCAAAGTCAGACAAACGGTTTGTGTAGGTGCGAGTTGAGATAAAGGTGAGGCTGCACTGGAAAATCCAACACGTATACATCCAAATACTTGTTCATTATTTATATTAAAGCTGAAGTTAAAAACTCATGTAGAGCGACCAAGCTGTGAGTTACTCTACAGAGTTCCAACATATTTGTTTATATAGTTAACTGAATGTTGTGACTCAAGTTTCTACGTGATCCTTGGATTCAACCAAGAGCTTTGTTTACACTGAGTGCATGCCTGCATTTCAGAATTGCTTATTAATATATGTGGAAAACTACTGCAGTAAACTCATTCAAACTGCACTTCATGTTCAGGACAACCTTCATTTGTTTGATTAAAACAAACATTAACCTTCAATGTTTGATTCCAATAAAAACCTTTAACCTTAAAATGCTGTAAAAACGCTCTCGGTTCCAGAAAGCATGAAATATGAAATATGACGGAGCTTGAAAAGAGTAAATGCCCGACTCATTCTAAATTTAACTGACTTCACGGCATTTTACTAGAACCATCAAAAGGTTTTATTAAATCATAACTTCCTTTTTATCTAAACAACTTCTCCAAGATATTTTGTCAAACTAAAACTAAACAATGACAACAAACAGCAAAAACCATTTATGTTCAACATGACTCCTTTAATGTCACGTGATCACAATAATTTATTTTGTTGTTGTTGTTGTCCCCCCCCCCCCCCCCCCCCACACACACACACACACACACACACACACAATTAAAGACATGGGCCTCTGTGTCCCTCCTCCTCTGAGCTCTTTCTCTGCTGATTTCTGACAGGTCCGCCTGAATGGATAAAATATTCTGCTTTCGTTGCTGTGAGGGTCTAAAATAAAGTCCACTCATCATTCTCAGTTTTCCAGCCTTTATTTTAAATTTATTCCTCTTCTATTTGTCCTCCCGGGGCTGCGGGATGAGTCCCGCGGCCGCGCGTGCGGAAGCCTAACAGATGGTCGGGTAACTTGATAAATGAGTCCGGAGCCTTTTTGTCGTTCTCACTCTGCGCTGCTCCCTCCAACAGCAAGAGGGTGGGGGTGGGGTGGGGGTGGATGTGGGATAGATCGCACAAGATGTGCGCCATTCCATCTGAGCTGATCCTTAATGCGCACCGTGTGATCAGCGCTGATCCTCCGCGGGCCTCAGGGTGGAGGAGGAAGGGGCCACAAATGTTGATTTAAAATTAATTTCTATAAATGTTTTTTTTTTTTTTTTTTTACTGTACATTATTGTTTTTTTTCTGAATCAAATATTTTGCACGAGGCCAGAAATCCCCGTCACGTTGGGATCAGCGGGGGCTGATCAGTGATCCATTTATTGGTTTTTGATCAGGTGCGCGCCTCAGCAGCACAAAGTGGACAATGATCCAAAGCAGTGTCTAGCTCAGCATGTGCGTGTGTGCGTCGGTGTGCGTGCGCGCGCGTGTGGAGAGAGAGAGAGAGAGAGAGAGAACTATTACACATCAGCATGACAGGAGAGGAGGAGGAGGAGGAGGAGAGGTGCCATGTGCTTCCTGTCTCATTCACCTCCCGGAGCTCCGACAGGATGGAGGTCCTGAGTTCTGCTGCCTCACGCGCTTCAAGCAACTGAAATAAAACTCATATTAATTTGTCTTTTTATTTTCATTTTGATTTTTTTTCTTCTATCGATCTGTTTCTTTTAAATCATCTGGACCTCCGTATTTTATCATATTGGTTGTTTTTCCACGCTAAACCTTGGAGTGTGCTGTCTTTTAGAAGAGAAAGGTATGAATTTTTACTATTATTAAAATGAACAAATTAAACCCAGTAATTAAACTATTTTAATTCATGCGTGAGTCACGCGAAATGCACTTTTCTTCAGAGCATTTCAGGAATCTGCGGCCTTTTTTACGCACGGGTGTAAAAAGTGAGCCGGCGTGGGTGAACGTGAGCCAGGCCTCCTCCAGACCTCATTTCGAGGCTAATCTGCGCAGAAGCTTTAATTATAAAGGGCCAGTCTTTTATTAACAATGCGCAACGCGCGCTCGGATCCGTGTAATTACCAGGAAAGCAGCTTACGCGTGTTCTTTTCCTCCTCGCTAAGCGCATTGGCGCAGCTCAGGCGGCGTTTTCCTGCTGTCCTTTTCCGACTCTAAGGATCTTATGTGACTCTTAAGTAGTTGTCCTGTTAAGAGCTGAGCCGATTTACAAAAGAGGAAGAAGAGGAGATCCTCCTCCACGCGCTGGAGGAGGCCAAGAACACTCAGAGAAATTAAACGATGAGAGAAACTGACTCGTTTCACCTGAAACAGCTGCTGTCAGTCATGTTTTAAATTATTATTATTATTATTATTATTAAATTCAGACTTTTCTGTCTTTTCTGATTAAAAAAAACAATTAGGTATGTATTTGTTTTTATATTATTATTTTGCAAATTAAAAATATACACAGAAAAAATAAATAAGGGAGTTTTTAATTCATAAATAAATGTAAAAAAATTGTTTAGGATTTTTTTTTAATTACATGCGCTATTTTTCTAAACAATTTTTTTTTTTGGAAATGCAGTAAAATATTGAGTCTTTATTTATTTATTTATTTATTTATTTATTTATTTATTTATTTATTTATGTATTATTTGCAGGCTTCCAGGGATGGAGTCGATGCCCGGACACCTTGGAGACGCGGGTCGGGACGCCAGCTCTTCTCCTGGTTTGAAGCAGGATGCGCAGAGCTTTTCCGGGCCCAGTTCCCTGAAACCGAACCAAGTGAGCGAAACGTCCCTGTACGGGGTCCCCATCGTGTGCCTGGTCATAGACGGCAGGGAGAGACTCTGCCTGGCGCAGATTTCCAACACCCTGCTGAAGAACTACAGCTACAACGAGATCCACAACAGGCGGGTGGCTCTGGGCATCACGTGCGTGCAGTGCACCCCCGTGCAGCTGGAGCTGCTGAGGCGCGCGGGGGCCATGCCCATCTCCTCCAGGCGCTGCGGCATGATCACCAAGCGCGAGGCCGAGAGGCTCTGCAAGTCGTTCCTGGGGGCACACAGCCCCCCGAAGCTGCCGGAGAACTTCGCCTTCGATGTGTGTCACGAGTGCGCGTGGGGCTGCAGGGGCAGCTTCATCCCGGCCAGATACAACAGCTCCAGGGCCAAGTGCATCAAGTGCAGCTTGTGTAACATGTACTTCTCCCCCAACAAGTTCATCTTCCACTCCCACCGCACCCCCGAGTCCAAGTACCTGCAGCCGGACGCGGCCAACTTCAACTCGTGGAGGCGGCACCTGAAGCTGTCGGACAAGAAGTCCTCTGACGACATCAGCCACGCGTGGGAGGACGTGAAGGCCATGTTCAACGGGGGGAGCAGGAAAAGGACTCTACCCATGAACGGCTCCGGGATGTCCTCGCCGCGGAAGCTGCACGCCCCGTCCAGTCTGTCCAGTTCCCCTGAGACCCCCCACAAAGCCCTGCGGTGCGATGAGGAGCAGGGGGGCAAGAACTTGAGTCTGACGAGCAGCGCGCGGAGCTACCCGGTCATCCCCGTGCCCAGCAAGAGTTTCGGCATGCTGCAGAAGATCCCCCCGCCCCTGTTCCCCCACCACCCGTACGGCTTCCCCAGCTACGGTTTGTGTCCGAAGAAAAGCGACGGGGTCGCGGACACGAACAAAACCAACGTGCCCGGCGTGTTCTGGCCGAGCGCCAAGGACGCGCTCTACCCGGCCTTCCCCATGTTCTGGCCCGCAGCGGGCGGCCTCCCCATGCCGCCCTACCCGGGCTCCCCACCCAAACCTCCTCTTCCAGAGCTGCCGGCCGTCCGGCAAGCGGAGCTGGACCTATCGGACCAAAGCGACCGGTGCGCGAACACCCCCAAAGACCCCCACCCTCACCACCAGCGGGACGGCGGGGAGCGCAGCCCCGGCTCCCAGTCCTCCTCCACCCGGAACGACGAGGACAAGTCCGGGGACGAGGCCGCGCAGAGGAAGATCAGCTACATCTCCGCGTTCAGACCCGTCGTGAAGGACGCGGAGAGCATCGCCAAACTCTACGGCAACCGGGACGGATACGGCGCGCGCTCCGGGTACCTGTCCCCGGATTTTATCAGCGAGAGCTCCAGTTACAGATCCCTGTCGCCGGACAGGGACAGCGTGGGGGACGAGGACGACGACCCGGACGTGGACGTGGAGTCCAACCGGGGACCAGAGGACGACGACGAGTCGATCCGGATCTCTCCGGGTCAGGACTCGTCAGCGCCACCAGAGGACCAGGAGCGGCACGCGGACACCTCGAGCCCCGGGCCGGCTCCGGCAGGATCCCCGCAGCTCTCCGTCCACTCCGGGTCACCAGATGAGCACAGACAGATGAGGAACGGCTCCCCCCCTCACCAAGTAAGACCGGATCACACGAAACTGTAATGACCCCCGCAGGGGGTGGGGGTGGGGGGTAAGGTGAACTGTGGCGGTAAATATATCCTGGAATATAAACATAAAACATTGGATAAATTTAAACCACACAATAAATCACAAGTAACACCCCCCCCCCCCCCCCCCCACACACACACACACACCCGCTGCTCCATTTTAAGAACATCATAATAACTGACCCTGATTTATTATTTATTGTTATTCTCGTTTTAAAAAGCTCTTGTGTGATCCTGTGGTTCAATTTAGTGTTTTTTAAATGCAACCCCCCCCCCCCCACCCCCACCCCCTTGCTTTTGAAGGTAAATAGCCTCAATTAGGTGAAGAACTGCAACTAATGGCCTTTAATTGGTCTCCGTGATTAACCAGGCTTTGGTTTTACAGGTGTACCCCCCTGAAAAGGACGGACAGGTGCTCCTCCTGCACGAACCTCCTCCCCCTCCTCCTTACGGCTCCAAACACTCCAGCAGCAGATCCAGCGGTAATTATTGGTCCATTTATTTATTTATTTATTTATTTATTTATTGGGGGGGGGGGGGGGGGGTGTCTTTAACTGAACGACTTTATCTGTTTCTGTTCAGCTCATCACGTGACTGAGACGCAACCCCAGCGCAGCGCCGCGTCCTATGAGCCGAAGGACAGACAAGGTTTTTATTATTTGTATTTTTTTATTTTATTTTATTTCATCTCCCTCCTACCCCCACTTTTTGGGGTAATATAATATTCCACATGTGTGATTAAACTGTTGGACTTTGTGCAGCTGGGGCTTTGCGCATCGACATCAGCGTGCACGAGAGAGATCTGGAGAACATGGCCAAAGGTGGGTCCCCTTTTACAGCTGAAAACATTCATTACAGGAAGTGAAGCATCGGACAGTGATTATCTGTAATTTATAAGATGAAGCACCCTCATTTCTTTTTTGCTCAACATTTCGTTTGTTGTGCTGCAAAAAAAAAAAAATAAATAAATAATAATAAATCAAATTATACACCAGAACATGCAGCAGATTTAAACTAATATCTGTAAGAAATTTCACCCTAACAAAATGAGATTTTGTATAAACAGATGAGAAACTCTCTCTGAACTCCACAAAAAAATAATTTAAAGTTCAGGTCTTTTATAACTTTTTACATAAATACAGTTTATTTCTTTTTTTTTTTTTTTTTTCTCCAAAGATATTTCCACTAAATGCTCAACATCAGAAGTGTGTATATCATTTTTTGAGGGGGAGTAAACAACAATTTTTTAATGGTACATATATTTTTTTGAGAAAATGTTGAAATATAACTGATATTAATGTGTCTCACTGCTTCAGGACTCACCATCCCTTCAGAGTGCAGGGAGCACCGCCCGGCCTTGACTTTAGTTTTAATGTAACTGGAAACTTTCTCCTAAACTTAAGGGGAAGCTTTTCTTTATCTTGTCACATCTTATACATAAAACACTAAAACATAAAAATAAAACTTTTTCTGCACAGCTGCTGTTTGTTTGAGGCTTATTTTTCAGTCTGCCTCTCTTATTAGGAGTACTGTACTAGCTGGGAGTGAGAGACACCGGTGTGTTGTTACCATGGTGACGTCAATGAGACACTAGCAGCAGCTTTAACATTTATTTTTGATTTCTTTACACATCTTGTTTTAATACAGATTTTGTTTTATTTTATTTATTTAGTTTAAAGATTAGGAGCTGTAGTTTCTTTCTTTCTGTTATTATTGCAAATTAAAATTTAATTTTAATCCTAACTATCTAAATTAGACGTATAAAGATCATTTGGTATAGAATATATTTTTTCTGTTTAGGCCTTTTCCATCTTTTAGGAGCAGTAATGAGCTCCTCCTTGTTGGAAAGAGCAGCGCTCCTGCTAAAGACGACGTGCCACAATCTTTCACGTGAATTAGCATTTTATAGGCCTACAGTGTTTTCCATCGTTGTTAACCACTTAATCACGAGATGTAGGAGTTTTGACTTATTATTGTAAGGGGAAATCGTTTAGAGGCTATTAATATTTTAACGAACAGAGCCATAACCCCGAGGCACGGCAGCTAATTATTTTACAACGCTTGAAAAAACCCCGGGACTCCATTATTATTATCGTTTGCACCTCCAGGCGATGTGTGGCAATTACTGTGGCAGCCAGTGAGGGGAAAAGCGCTGAAATGGTTCTTATGGAAGCTGAAAACACACCTGAAGTCGCTTTACTGAGCTCCAGTGCAGCTTTTATGAGCTGAAATTAACAAAAAAAACATATATGATACACGAGCTTGATGAGGTGTGTCTTATCATATCTGCAGACAGAATTGTCTCCATGTTTTTCAGAAGAGCTGCAGAAGCAGCTGGTGGAGCAGGTGGAGCTGAGGAAGAAGCTGGAGCGAGAATTTCAGCATTTAAAAGGTAAAAGAAACAAGTGAGTGGATTTTAAAGGCACACGGAGACAAGAGAGCGCCTCTTTGTTCGCAGAGGAGATCATTTATTATTTAAAGTCACCCCGAGTGTGTTTGTGTCTGACGTGGCCTTTCTGTGTGCGCCAGATAATTTCCAGGACCAAATGAAGCGGGAGCTGTCCTACAGGGAGGAGATGGTGCAGCAGCTGCAGATTGTTCGAGGTTAGTCTCTCTCTGTGTTGCCAGGTTGTGTGGCTCTTGGGCCCTCACAGATGAAAGCTTTTGTCACACATTGCAAGGAAGTCCTCGGTCGTGAGCTCGAACGGGCGAGGTCATTCAAGCAGCTCTAGACGACTGATGGTGACTAGTAAGCGGAGTCAGAACTGTTCTTGGATATCAGGTGTGATGCTGGTGTCTGAACACAACATTTAGAGCGTCATAGTTTTATTGTAAGACTAAAACGATATCAGACTTTTGTGACGTTCTGCATCAGAAGTCAAACAGTCTCTATTAAACTTTACATTGTAGAGACACAGTGCACAACGTGACACGATCTGTTCACGACTGACAAAACTTACACGCATATGACACAACTGTTTTATCCTGATTTTAATGCTTTTCAGTTCCTGTTTAAACAGTTAAAATAAGCAGTTTCTGTTGTTTTAAAGCAGCATCAGTTGAAGTAACTATACTACAAATTAAATTCATATTTATTTATGGGCAGCACGGTGGTGCAGTTAGCAGAGGAGCTACATCTCTGAGAGCAAGGCGCCCCGTTCAAATCCCGGTCCGGGGGGCCTTTCTGGGTGGAGTTTGCATGTTCTCTCCGTGCATGCGTGGGTTTTCTCCGGTTTCCTCCCACACACCATAAACATGCATGTTAGACTGATTGGTAACTCTAAATTGTCTCTGGGTGTGAGTGAGAGACTGAATGGTTGTTTGTCTCGTTTGTGTCCCTGTGATGAACTGGAGACCTGTCCCTGGTGTCCCCCGCCTCTCACACAGCGATAGCTGGACGAGCGCCAGTGACCTCAGACCCAAAAAGGGAAGAAGCGAGTAAAATATAATGGATGGATGCTTTATTTATGTCTTGAATCAAATGAAGACTGTTCCATGCTCTTGTATCTGCACTTTTGAGGCCTGACCTTTATTTTGAACTAACTTTGAAGTATTTTTCCCCTGCTTTTTAATAAATCATCATTTACAACCTATTCGGTGAGGTCAAAATCTCAAATGATAACTGTGTTATTTTACATTCAAACAGACTTAATGAAACCAGTTAAATTAATCGAGTTCATTTTTAGAGTGCAGATGGTAGATCACTGCTTATTTCAGTCCGTCTGAGGGAGCTGGTTCCTAACTTAAAAAAAAAAAAAGAGGACAAGTGACACTTGCATATTGAAATATTGGCAACTTCTGTTTTCCTGTAACCTCCACTTGTTTTTGCAGTTTAGTAGCTGGATACATATAAAAAACGAGTGAAACTGAAACTGCGTTGTTTTGTTTGCGAAGGTTATTTTTCTTCTAAATCATGCTCTGGAAAATTGAATAGACAGCCCATTATGCAGAGCTGTATCAGTTACATGCAGTAGACAGCAACTAATGCGGCCCGTTAACGGATTGGTGTAGAGTTTCAGCTGTTTAAATACCGGCTTCAAGTACACAGAGGGGTCACTCTAAATACCACCAAACAGCACGCATTACACGCCTCCACTTAAGGTGCAGCTCATGTGTTCTTTTAAAAATATATTACATTTTGACCGTTTCTTTTATTTTCAGTATTTTTATTTATTATTTTATATATTTTTTATTTTTTTTGATAGACACTTTGTGCAGCGAGTTGGACCAAGAGAGAAAGGCTCGTTATGCAATTCAACAGAAGCTAAAAGGTAATTTTATGTGGTCCACAAAAAAATAAAAGTAAAAAGGAACGTAACTAATTTTATTTTATTTTCTGCTTGCAACAATAAATATACAAGCGCTGATTTATTTTTGGTTGACCGTTTCTTGTGATCAGTGGTTGATATTTACAGTGAGACGACATTAAAGTGCAGGTTCACGTTTCACGTTTGTCTGAAGGCAACGCTCATATGTCCACGCGAGCAGTGAAAGCACCACTGACTCAGTATTTGATTCCTGCATTTTCAGGGTGAGCCATGAGAAAAGTTACATCCTTTAAATGTTCCTCTTCCGTGTTTCTGACACTTTGGTTCAATATCAGCACAAAAATCATGTTTTTATTTACAAATACGTCAAAAAAAATTGAGGATTATCAGAAAGTACTAATAAGTAAATAGCATAAGCTAGTTTTTAAGAAGTGCTATCTCTAAGTAAATAAATGCATGAAACAAAAACAAAAGTTTCACATTTTTTCTATGTTTTTATGATATTTTATTGCTTTACACTGATGAAGACTGCTGGTGCTTTTCAAACCAAGTCATCTCATCGTATTCATTCAAACTTTATATGTACAGGTTACCGTATTTTTGGGACTATAAGGCACACTTAAAACCCCTTAATGTTCTCACAAATCGACACTGAGCCTTATTTATTAATTCTGGTTGTGCTTACTGACCTTGAACTGATTTTATGTTTTTTTACACGGTGCTCAAAAATCTGTCAAAATAAACTTGTTTTGCTTAATGCGCCTTATAATCCGGTGCATCTTAGCCGTAGTCTCACTGAGACTCGAGGACTCATTTACAAGAGATACCTGATTCTAATAGAGTGATGACAACAGTAGACAATCACAAAATAAAACATAAACTGAGAAGAATAAATGAAAGAAAGTGGTATTAACAAAAAGGTTTTCTTCTGCAGAGTTTGAGCTCCATTGTTTCATTTAATACAAGAAAATGTCATAGTCCTCATTTTCTTTTACCAGTTTTGTTTTAAAACTATGTATTTTCATGTTTTTACTTATAATCAACTCCATTCTTCCACATCCGTCTGGCTTTATGGATGACTGATAAAGGAAAAGTGTCAAAAACAAATGTTGATGCCAATCAAAGCAGGAAAAGACTCAAACATCTATTTTTTTAAACTTTACAAGTCCATATTTGGACGGATTGTGTACAAGACGGAAGAAAACTTAGATTGTTGTTAATTTGTGCAGAAGCCGGTGGAGAACAGTCACTCCAAATGCAAACTATGAATGTATTTAGGTGATTTATGAACAAGTAGACATCCACCATCAGAACACTGAACAACAACCATGGTGTGGACAGCAGGAGAATGAATCGCCAAAGAAAAAGAAACAAGTGAAAAAGAAAGAGTGTTGTTTTCTACACTTGTGAGCCTCAGGGTTGAAATCTTCAGAAAGTCTCTGCCTCCTGACGTGATCCTTCTTTAAAGAGCCGAAGGTGGTTAAGACCAAGCGTCTTTAAGCTGTAGTCAGATTTTGGACAAATCTATTTTATGAAAATCAAGATGGCCTTTTATTTAGTCATGAAAGGAGATGTAGCGACAACATATGCTCTGTGAATCTCCTTATTGGACTGTAGATGATACATTCTGGATGCAGCAGTGGATAAAATGTACAAAGATTTCTGCTTCTCAATTTATAAATTCAAAGGACAGTAAAAGTGAAGTGGATATGATGAGATCGTCTGCACGTTTGTTTTATCCACACACAGACAAAAGTAAAAAAAAAAAAACATCTTTCACGCAAAAAGTATCAAACCTGTCTGTGGATGGAAGCGCTCACTCATCTCTAAAAGCGGTGATGTTATAAACAGACGGATGAAAATCTTTCCCACAATCCCACAGAAATCAGCAGAAAACACACACACAAAATAAGTAAATAAAAATCTACTATAATTTCAAACTTTTGGCTTTTCGCCCAAACGGATGAGCAGAACTGATCAGAAAACGTTCGTTGCCAGTGATGTTGGCCCTCACAGATGTGTAATATTAGATATTTTAAGGACAATTGTTTATTTAACTTACATCCGTCATGTTTTACCAGGTCTTTACATGTGATCAGGGTCATCTTTATCCATTGAATCTTACAACAAAAAGAAAAATTTCAATCGTGCCTTCACAATAATTTGTTTTTGGGATGTTGCTACAGTGAACAGCACCTCATTCGTGATGGTTTTGATTCTAATTTGTAAGAATGTCATTTGTTTTTTCTCCCTGCCTGCCCCGCCACTGACGGACTCCTTCCTCCCCAGAAGCTCACGACGCCCTTCATCATTTCTCCTGCAAGATGCTTACTCCTCGTCAGTGCTCCGGAGCCTGCACCTTCAAGCCCCCGCTGCTGCCCCCTTAGTGCCACCCTGCAGCTGACCCCAGCACAGCCAAAAATACAAAAGTAAATTTTAAAAAAGAGAAAGAAACAAAGACGAAGAGCTCTTTAAGTGCTCACCTCCAACCCTGCTGTACAGATTTATCACTGATTCTAGCACTTGTGAAGACGTGGAGACCCGGAGGAGACGGTTTGGACAGCGATCCCCCCCATGCCCCCCACTCTAAAGAACTGGACTCTTGTGTTAAAGAGATCAGAATGCAGCTCCTTTGTCGTTCATCGCAGGACGGTTAATCTGCAGCTGCACAGCTCAAACCAAGGAGTGTCGCTGAATTCAAACTCTTTTGCTTATCTCAGAAAGGAGAACACAATGTACACACACAAACACACACATATAGGCTATATATGTTATGTGACAATGTGCAATGGCTTGTATAATTGTGATATTAAGTTCAAAACAAAACTCATCGTTTAGTTTTTGTTGCTTTTTCGATTATGTTTTTACATCCTTATTATTTATCTGTTTAATTTATCGTGACTGTTGTTGAGCACTTTAAAACTTTTCTGAATTTGACCATGATGTCCCGAACCAGATTATTTAATTTCATCGAAATCGCCCTTGTGTTTTGAGATGCAGCACATTGAGGTCAGCACTTAGCCTTTCAGGTGTGACGTCCAACAATAAAAAAAGATTTTTCTCCTCAGAATGGTGTGTCGTACGAAACCAAACAGTTCTGTTTAAAGAACAGCCATTCACAGATGTCATTAAAAAGGAGAATTTCAACTCAGTTTCCATCGTCCTCTCTGTTCTGGGCAATTTTTCTGACAATAATACAATCGTTTGTGAGTTTCAGCTGACTTTAACCAAAACAGATTATCTTTTTTTATAAAAAAAAAAAAAAAAAAAGAGAATACATTTTATTATTTCTAGGGATGCACAATATTGAATTTTTGGCCCATATCTAATACACCAATATGTTAAAACTTATTTGGTCGATAACCGATACCAATACTGGTATTTTTTCCTAGACCTACTTACAGAGATTACACAGCTTTCTCTGCTGTGGAATTAAAATACTACATTATTCTGCATGATCTTTGTCAGTTTGGACTGCTACCAAATGCAGATGCCAAAAAGGGGACTGAAAATGATGTAACACTTCAACTTGGATTATGTTTAATGTCAAATTTATTCATGACATTTACTCTCTCTAACACAATGACAACACTCGAACAGTGAAAATTTGTAAATGTTCACAAATCTAAACTCAATGGCGCGCATGATGTCATAACATTGTGCTGGTGCTGCAGGCATCCTTGTCACTGGGTTGTCATACAAAAACAGCACCTTTCATA